AAAACCAGCCTGGTCAACCAACTTAAATCAACAAACCAGCTTAGGCTGGTTTAAGCTGGATTTTTTAGCAGGGAATATAATGGTTTTAAATGTAAAAACCAGATTAATCGCACCTCTTTGCTGCTGTAAATCCAAAGGGAGTGTCCACAGATAGCGGAGTAGACTTTTTTACGTCGGTCTTTCATGCTTAGCGGTCCGTGTTTTTTGGGTGCGGCGATCGCTTCCCTTCCACGACTGTCATAAAGAGAGTGCAACCAGCCGTCCTGCACAGCTACGACACAACGTTCACATGAAAATAAAGCAAATAATGAGCTGAACAGCTCTCCGTTTCCATCAGAGCTCCCCACAGCTCGTCCCTACCTGCGTTGTGAGCCATGAACTCAAAGTGCTTCTTCTGTAAATGGATGGAGAAGCGTCCGTGTTCCTGCTTGCTTATGTTGGTGACACTCGCAACATGAAACACATACTCTGTGAATTTGTCCTGGGGAATGATCAAAATGTGGATTTATTAAAAAAAATAGGGCATTATTAATTAAGTATTAGGGCTGCACAATATATCGAAAAAATATTGTTATCGTGATAATAACGAACACAATATCGACATTGCAGAGAAGTGCAATACATGAATACTGGAACTACCAGAACTACTAGTATTAACCATAGCAATCATTCTGACTGTTTCTCATACAAGATGTCATATCGTCACGTCAGATTTACATTCAAAGCTTCTATTGAGATATTAAAATAAAGCTGTGAATGTCTGCAGTCATAATTAACAAGTCATTAGCCTAAAAATACAATCATTTTGTTGATACAGCCTACAGTACTTGACAAAAGTCTTATCGTTGATCCCAGTTGTACACGAAACAAATAATAACTTGACTTTAGTTGATCATTTGGAAGTGGCAGAAGGTGGATTTTCTGTTGAACTGTTGAACTGCATCCCAATCATCACAAATACTGCAGAAGACCTACTGGAACCAGCATGAAGCCAAGACTCTCACAGAAATCAGTCAAGTTCGGTTAAGAAAAAAATCATGGTTTTGGGTTACATTCAGTATGGGGTGTGCGAGAGATCTGCAACATCGACAGCCTGAGATATCAAGACATTTGTGCTGCCCATTACATTACAAACCACAGGAGAGGAACAATTCTCCAGCAGGATAGCGCTCCTTCTCATACTTCAGCCTCCACATCAAAGCTCCTGAAAGCAAAGAGTGCTCCAGGATTGTCCAGTTTAGTCACCAGACATAAACATTGAGTATGTCTGGGGTATGATGAAGGAGGAGGCATTGAAGATGAATCCAAAGAATCTTGATGAACTCTGGGAGTCCTGCAGGAACGCTTTCTTCTTCATTCCAGATGACTTTATAAATCAGTGATTTGAGTCATGTCAGAGGTGTATGGATGCAGTCCTCCAAGCTCATGATGGAGTCAGACACAATATTCATTCTGTCTCCACTGCAGCAGGACTTTATATTCTATACTGGACATTATTTCTGTTCAGTGATGAGACTTTAGTCTAAGCAGAGTCAGACCTTACTGTCCTGATTAAATATTAACAAAATCAAGCCATGGTCATATTTTATTATGTTAAAACAAGCATAATCTAGAAGCCTTCGCCTTTCATATAAGCCACTTCTAATACCAAATGATCAACTCGAAGTCAAGTTATTATTTGTTGTTGCTAAAACTTGAATAGACGACAAGACTATTGTCAGGTAGTGTATATGCAAGCTGCAAGACCATCAGCGAATGTCCACACCTCACTTTCAAAGACATATCTGAAGTAAAGGTATGATTTCGCTATTAGAAAGTTAGCAAGAAGTAACTAGGCAACAAAGGCACGCATATTCAGAGACACGAGGAAAAGTATCAGATATTAAAATGCATGAGCTATGTTAATTAAAGGTTGCACAAAATTAAAATAACGTTTTTTTTAGATATTAGCATCTGTATTGTAAGATATCTCTTCATGTTTTGGTTGAGATTACGTCAAACATCGAATAAAAATGCACATTTAAAATCACTTCACAGGACCTTTAAAGGTATAAATACCCATAGCTTTTTTGCGTTTTGTAAATTTACTAAAATAACAATGTTAGAAAGAAATTCACACAAATTTAGGAAAAGTTGGAGGATATTTGGGTTTTATTATGTTACTTTTTTTAAATTGCAGATAAAATAGTTTTGTAAGTTAGCAATATATTGTAAGAAATGCCATTTTCACAACACTCAACAACAACAACATTGCATATTTTCACAGTATTGTGCAGCCTTGTTCACTATTGGAAAAAAGTAAAACAACTCACTGTGCGTTTTTTCCACATTGACATCAGATTCCCGTCTAGAGTGGCCCAAAGTACCATGTGCCTACAAAACATTAAAGGTAACATCAATCTAAAACTTTCTTTTAGCAACATTTTGTTAGAAATACTAATATGCTTTACGCGTTTGTTTCTATGTTAGTTTCTATAACTGCTACTTTCAATTAAAGCACTTCATTTTAGCATTGATATTTAATATCTCATTATGACGCGATGGTGTACAGCCATTTTAAGATCTCTCCAGAGATGTTCAATAGGATTTAGGTCTGGGCTCTGGCTGGGCCACTCAAGGACATTCACCGAGTTGTTGTGAAGCCACTCCATTGGTATTTTGTCGGTGTGCTTTGGGTCATTGTCCTGCTGGAAGATGAACCGTTGCCCCAGTCTGAGGTCAAGAGCACTCTTGTGCAGGTCTTCATTCAGGATGTCTCTGTACATTGCTGCATTCATCTTTCCCTCCATCCTGACTAGTCTTCCAGTTCCTGCTGCTGAAACACATCCCCACAGCATGATGCCAACACCACCATGCTTCACTGTAGGGATGCTGTTAGCCTGCTGATGAGCGCTGCCTGCTGTTCTCCAAACGTAACGCCTGGCGTTCACTCCAAAGAGTTCAGTTTGAGTCTCATCAGAGCAGAGAGTTTAGTTTCTGATGGTCTGAGAGTCCTTCAGATGCCTTTTGGCGAATTTCCAAGCGGGAGTTTCTTCCATCTGATCGCTCTACCATACAGGCCTGATTGGTGGATTGCTGCACAGATGGTTGTCCTTCAGTAAGGTTCTCCTCTCTCTACAGAAGAACGCAGGAGCTCAGACAGAGTGACCATCAGGTTATTAGTCACCTTCCTGACTAAGACCCTTCTCCCTGATCACTCAGTTTAGATGGCCGGCCAGCTCTAGGAAGAGTCCTGGTGGTTCCAAACATCTTCCACTTACAGATGATGAAGCCTACTGTGCTCATTAAAACTTTCAGAGCAGTCTCGGAGGTCTACAGACAATTCCTTTGTCTTCATGCTTGGTTTGTGCTTTGATATGCACTGTCAACCCTGGGACCTTATATAGACAGGTGTATGCCTTTTCAAATCATGTCCAGTCAACAGAATTGAGCACAGGTAAACTCCAAAGAAGCTGCTAAAACACATCAAGAACGATCAGTACCTGAGCTCAATTTAGAGCTTTTAAAATCTACTGCGAAAAAAAACAAACCCATTTCAACTAAATGTAATATTTTTAAAATATATTTCTCTTCTTTTTTTTGTTTATTAAAATTGTATTTAATGCTTTCCCCAACATATTAATTTATTTGTTCTAAATTTTGGACTATGATCTGCAGTTTTGGCTTCAGTTCTGCCTAATATATTATTGTAAAGCATCCTGTAGAAAATATGAAATTTAAAAGAGAGATCTGAGGCGTGTACTTCAACATTACTTCAGAAAATGAACTTAAAGTTGACATCTTTTTTTTTTTGAAAGGGTACTCTGTGCCGTTTGTAATGCACTAGTATTAAAGCCTTAGCTTTAAAACACGTGAGCGCTGGGCATGATGGGACAACAATGTTCTTGGTTGTTGTTGTTGAATCTCTGCATGTGCAGTAAAATGTGGCATTGAAAAGAACAGCATGCTTACGGCATGTGACCGTCTTGAAAACAATGTTATTCAGCAGAATGTGCACAGAAGACAAGATCTGACAGAAAAACTGTTCAGACTTCCATTGAAGATTACCAAAGCAGTCAACTTTTTTTACTTGCATCAATTATTCACCTTAAAAATAACAACTTGAGCTAGCAAGATATACAGTGTAAATTTTGATTTCAAGCAGACTTTAATGTAAAGTTCACTCTTCCCTGACGCCCCATTCACACGGGGCTCCAGCATCAACGCTTGACTGAAGGCGTGTCTGAAGTTGGGGCTGACGCGATCGTCATAGCAGCGTCAGCCAATGAAATTCAGTCAGCAATAGGCCATTGTCTAGCTGGTGTATTTGCATACAGCGATCTCATTGGCTGACGCTTCTGTCGGCGCTTGAAAAGTTGAGCTGGTCCTAACTTCTGCAGCAAGCAACGCCTCTGAAGCGGCGTCGACAGATCCACAATGCAGTTCGGCAACGCCTGACGTCACCTATTCAAAGTGAATGGGAAGCGTTGACGCTGACGCCCCGTGTGAATAGAGCGTGAAGCTCTGATTTAAAGGATAATGTAAAAAGTTATTTACTTGCGTCCTTTCCACACGTCAAGCCAGCTGGACTGAGACACGGTAAACTCACTGCGAGTCTGGTCTGATTTCTGCCCTGATAATGTTTGCTTCTTCCTACTCACACGAATGGTTGCAGCCCTGCAAACAGACAGATCACAAGATTGCCAAACTTTGCAAAGCACTAGGCTATAAACGAGTTGACACAATGCTACAAATCTAAAACAAGTCGCAATTTTAAACACATATGTATATGTACACACCTACATAAATCAATAAATAAATAAATATATATATATATATATATATATATATATATATATATATATATATATATATATATATATATATATATATATATATATATATATATATATATATATATATATATATATATATATATATATGTGTGTGGTGTATATATATGTGTGTGTGTGTGTGTGTGTGTGTGTATATATATGTATATGTGTATGTGTATGTATATATATGTATATGTATATGATATATGTATATATATCATAAATAAAAATAAGGGTTACCTACAGTGTACAGTGGTAATGCATGAAAAAGTAACCTGACAACATATATGTAACTCCATATATGTAACATATATATGTAAATATATATATATATATATATTTATATAATATATATAAAGTCTCCCAAGTTGTCACGGGTTGCCACAGCGGAATGAATCGCCAACTATTCCAGAAAATGCTATACACAGCGGATGCCCTTCCAGGCGAAACCACCCATATGCGTGCGAGAACATGCAAACTCCACACAGACATGCCAACTGACCCAGCCGGGACTCGACCCAGTGACCTTCTTGCTGTGAGGCGACGGTGCTAACCACTGAGCCATCGTGCCGCCATATATAGTAGTTCTCTCACCCTTCTAAAAGAGTTAGAGACTGCTTTTGAAGCACTTCACTTCAGATGTTATTCGTTATTCTTGTTAATCTAGTAGATAACTGACCAACAAAAAATATATAGAAATTAAGACACGATGTGTTTTCATTTCCTGTCTCACTCGCGGCATAATAGTGTCTTAAATAATGTTGCCTTTGACAGCAATCATCAGTGTTTTTTGAGATTGAAATAAGAATAAGGGAGGATGGGGCAGGGTGGTGCTGGATATGTGCGTACCTTTGAATAAAATCCTGCAGGCGCCCCTGACTGAAGTCACCAAATGGCCATAAGCAATCATTAATTGCACTACAGAATGTTACGTTTTCACTCACAAACTGTATGTATTCTATCAGCGCTAAATAAGCTCGGTTAGCGGCACCACCTGCTGGACACTCGTAACTTATTAGTCAGGGGTCAAAGGTCAAAACATGTACATTAACATATCAGCACAGCTAGATTGTTTTCTGTCTGCTTATTGTAGGTGCACATATTATTGTAACGTGTTCTCACCTCACATTATACATGTATTTCCCATGAATGGCAAATAATTGACCTTTTCACACTTAGAAACAGCCTTAAAAGTAAATGACACTGATGTAAGCCACATTTTTATCTGCAGGGTATATGATGGATTGATTTTCACCATCTCACTACTCTTGAGTACTGTTAGAAGGGCTACTTTTACTCATACTTTGGGTAGTATTGACAACAGATACTTCTATTCTACTTACACTTCATCTATTGGCAAGCAATAGCACTTGATTTTTCACTACTCATTCCAGTAATGTACATACTGTAAAATAAAGTGCAAACAAATTCTGGACTGTACCGTGGTTTCTTGGGTCTGTCAGGCATTTTCTGAAGGCTCTCTGATTGGAGATGGATCTCTTCATTGGCCCACTGAACATCCGTCAGCTTATCTGTTTTACTGTAATGAAGAAAGTAAATCACCCACTGTAAAAAAAATGCTGAATCACTGTTGGGTCAAATATGGACAAACCCAACCATTGGGTTTAAAGCGTGCTAATGTACTTTAAACTGAAAGGGAATATTGAGTAGGGGGCGGGGCTTTCTTTGCACATCATTCACTCTTAGTAAACTAATGGCAAGCGGGGCGTGGCTAAAAATAATGACCGCCACTCCAAATATGAAAGCAAATGCTCAGATTTGATTACAAAAACTTATTAACTTGCACTAATTAATTTTTTATCTGCAAACTAAACCATGCGAATTTGGATTTCACACAGACTTTAAATGTGTGATTAAAATGTAACAGTAAAAGTAAAAGCTAAGCCAACATTTGGTTTGCCCAAATCTGAACCGTCGATTACGACAACCAAGAATTTTTTGAGTGCACTGACTAATGTGTAAAAATGTAATCAAGACATAGTTGAGATGGGGGAAACAGTAATAATAAAGTTTATTTTTGTATGATAAACACTCACCGGCCACTTTATTAGGTACAATGGCCTGTTAGCGCAAATTTCTAATCAGCCAATCACATGGCAGCAACTCAATGCATTTAGGCATGTAGACATGGTCAAGATGATCTGCTGAAGTTCAAACTGAGCATCAGAATGGAGAAGAAAGTTGATTTACGTGACTTTGAACGTGGCATGGTTGTTGGTGCCAGACGGGCTGGTCTGAGTATTTCAGAAACTGCTGATCTACTGGGAATTTCACGCACAACCTTCTCTAGGGTTTACAGGGAATGGTCTGAACAAGAGAAAATATCCAGTGAGCGGCAGTTCTGTGGGCACAAATGCCTTGTTAATGCCAGAGGTCAGAGGAGAATGGCCAGACTGTTTTCCAGCTGATAGAAAGGCAACAGTAACTCAAATAAGCACTCGTTACAACCGAGCTCTGCAGAAGAGCATCTCTGAACACACAACACGTCCAACCTTGAGGAAGATGGCCTACAGCAGCAGAAGACCACACCGGGTGCCGCTCCTGTCAGCTAAGAACAGGAAACTGAGGCTACATATCACACAGGCTCACCAAAACTGGACAATAGAAGATTGGAGAAACGTTGCCTGCTCTGATGAGTCATTGAGTCTCCATTTCTGCTGACACATTCAGATGGTCGGGTCAGAATTTGTCCTCAACAACATGAAAGCATGGATCCATCCTTTCTTGTATCAACAGTTCAGGCTGGTGGTGGTGGTGTAATGGTGTGGGGAATATTTTCTTGGCACACTTTGGGTCCATTAGTACCAATTGAGCATCGTGTCAACACCACAGCCTACCTGAGTAGTGCTGCTGACCATGTCCATCCCTTTATGACCACAGTGTCCTCATCTTCTGATGGTTGCTTATAGCAAAATAACGCACCATGTCTTAAAGCGTGAATAATCTGGTTTCTTGAACATGGCAATGAGTTCACTGTACTCAAATGGCCTCCACAGTCACCAGAGCTCAATCCAATTGAGCACTTTTGGGATGTGGTGGAAAGATAGATGGCATCATGGATGTGCAGCCGACAAATCTGCAGCAACTGTGTGATGCTATCATGTCAATATGGAGCAAAATTTCTGAGGAATATTTCCAGTAGCTTGTTGAATCTCTGCCATGAAGGATTAAGCAGTTCTGAAGGCAAAAGGGGTCCAACCCAGTACTAGTAAGGTGTACCTAATAAAGTGGCCGGTGATTGTACATTTTTCCTTTATTATTTCAGCAAATAAAACTGTTTATTTATGTGCACTCTAAGTTTACCCAACTACGACTACTTCTACTACTGAGAAACCTGCAAATGTAAAAAGGACGCATCACGCAGCTCTAAATAACACATCACCTTGCTTTCTGTACATTGTGTTGGCCTTTAGAGAGATGCTGATGTGTTTTTGGCGAGTCTGAAGCCGCAGGGGAATCATCCGAATCAGCAGACCTCAGTGCTTCCACTGATAAACCGGAGCTGATGGAGATCGAAGACGGCCACACTAACGTTTCACTGCTTTTAACATCTAGAAGATCAGGGGGAACAGAAGCGGATGTCGACTGATGAGATGAACCGTCCACACTAGCCTCATGTTGGATGTCCGTTTCTGCAAAAAAAAATAAAAAAAATAAAAAAATAAAAAAATATATATATATAAATAAAAAAAGGATCACCGGAATGGGGGAAGTAAAGTGGGAAAATATGATACACCGGTGTTTTAGAATATGGAAAAAACCATACCATCTATACGCTGCTTTCGGCTGTTTTTATATTATTTGTTTTTATTTTTTTTATACTCGTCTCTTATATTCCTGTTTATGTAAAGCACTTCGAAGTGCCACCGTGTATGAAATGCGCTACATAAATAAACTTGCCTTGCCTAATAGGACAACCCCAAATCAGAAAAGGTTGTGTCAGTATGGAAAACACAAATAAAAAAAGTAATTAACGATTTCTGAATTTACTTTGACTTATAGCAATATCGCAATAGTATAGCAATCGTTTATAATTCAAATGAACACAATGGGGTATATGCACATGGACTTTTAAAGGGCACATAGTTGACCCCTTTTTTATGATTTAATATTAATATTATGGTTGTTCTGAGTGTGCCAGTTTAGGTTTAGTTCAACACACAGTTCAGATGTTTTTATTCTAATGTGTTTAAAAGTGTCATGGGGGCATGTACAAAGTTTGCTGTTTTAGGGGCGTGTTGCTTCACAGTTTCGGCTTCCCGCCCAACGTAACAAGGGGGTGGAGCCAAGAGCCCCCACGCTCTGTGTTTGCAACAGACAGGCTGACAGACAGAGAGAGAAGCTGAGCTAAGCTAGGATGAGCATTCAGCCGTACATGTACAACTCGGACACAGACCAAGCAGAGAGTACGAAATCATTTGTGTCGTTGTATAGTTTGTATAGTCTCGATGTATAAGTGTCGAGCTTGTACACCTAGACTAATAACCACACACACTGAATTAACTTTGACTGAGGCACAGAATGCGCCGCAACACGGCACACCAGACACACTCAGTGACGTGACAGAAACATGAAGTGTCCCGAATCGTCGCTCCACGCATTACAGAACTCCAAACACAAGCCTCCACCAGGGCAAACACAACGGCGCCGGGCCGAGCCGTCGACCCGAAGCTCCGCAGCGTGCACCCTGACAGAAACCCACGCCCAGAACTCCGAAATGCACGGCGCCACGCAAAAGGTACAAGCAATAATTCTGAATAGAGCGATAATGTGGAGAATATTTATCTTGTGTTGAGCCCAATGAGCTTTTCATCTAAAAATAGAGCACGGGTGTTTCTTTATTGATATCGCTTTGACTCACACGCTGAAAATGGCAGACGTGCAACATGAACACGTGCACATGAAAACCGCTCCAATTGGTCCACCGTTTTTATGTTGTTAAATTGAAAAGAAAAAAAGGACTGGGTGTGTTGATATCACCACAATTTGACGGTCTATACACTATACTTACACACCAGTTTGTCCAAACAGCTTGAAAAGTAGATTTTTCACCATAGGTGCCCTTTAATTTCCGTCAGCCAGCCCCAGGGCTTACAGTTAATCGTCATCTCATATAAAATCGCTGCATTTAAGATCTGATTTCTTTATAAAAACAGCGATCTTCACTGTCTGGTGGAGATACGAAAGTGGGTCTCAGACCAAACAAGAAGCACTGCATTAAATTATACTTTTCCGCGCCATGTCTTCAAAATATGGAAATTTATTTTACCCCAGTATTTTCAATGGAGTTTCTGTGCTGGTCTGTGGCTCATGACGGCGCCTGCGTTTAAATGGTGTCGTCTCTTTTTATACTTTAACAACTAAACGGATGCTAATTTACTGATTGTATTTAAATCACATCACAACGTCCATCCTGTAAAAGGAACCTTGTGAAATTGAAAATAGTCACACTTTCACCGCAAGTTCATCATTGGCTGAACAACACTAGCTCTGCATATTATAGTCCATTCAAATTCAGATTGTTTTGGTATATTTTAAGCTCCATAGCTAGCATATTTAATAGATACTATTTATCGTCAAGAAAAACACATTAAAAAGTACCTTGAGTTTTCATCTGTGTATTGATCTGAACATCAGGAGGAGGCAAAGGAGCATCACCATTTCTGTAAGAGATTTGAGCATAAAATGAGTTTACTGACTTTGCAAAAAAGCTGATTTATTATTAGACACGCTCTCTCAACATTTTTGTACATCTTTTTATTATTTATTACATTATTTTTTCCATGTTTACGTTTAGCTTGTTGGTAACTTCAAAATACATTTAGAAATACCTTTTTTCTAGCATCGGGTAACTTAAAACATATTAGTAGTGTAAACCTTTGCCTCAGAGACATAATTTCTGCCATTATTTCTGACTAGGCTTCAGCCGGTCTCAAATTTTCTACTTGCAATTAATAGCTAAAACTTTTCTCAAATTTAATATAAAATAAATGCAAAAAAAAAAATGATAAAATATTACATTTAAATAAAATAAAACTTCTAGTTGCAATTAATTGGTAAAGCTTTTAATCACCTCTACATTTGAAATAAAATTAAATTTAAATTAATAAAACAAAACTTAAATAAATGCAGATAAAATAAAAATAAAATGCAAGCAAAATAAAATAAAATTAAACGTAAACAATATAAAATACAAATAAAATAAATGTTCTAGTAGCAATTAATTGCTAAAACTTATTACATTTAAAATAAAATAAAAATAAAATAAAAAATAAAATGAATAAAATAAAATAAATATAAATACAAACAATAAATACAAATAAAATATAAAGTATAAAACACAAATAAAATATTTTTGTTTCAATTAATTGCAAAATATTTTGTCATAAATACTTAAAAATTTTACATATAAATTAAAATTTAAAACTAAAATCAAATAAATTTTCTTGGTGCAATTAATTGCTAAACTTTTATCGCATTTAAAATGAAATAAAATAAAAATACAAGTAAAATAAAAAAAAAACAAAGTATGAAATATGAAATACAAAGAAAAAATCTTGTTAAAATTGCTATTGCTAAATTTGCTATTATTAAAATAATAACCGAATTAAATAAAAATAAAATAATAAAAATAAAATCAATGAAAATATAAAATACAAATAAAATAAACTATAATAAATAAATAATATATTATATAGCATAATAATATATAATACAGCATAAATTACATTCAAATAAAATTATTGTCTAGTCGCAGTTAATGGTAAAACTTTTATCACATTTACAGTATTATTATGAATTTGATCTAACTTGCAAGAAAAAATATATAATAATATAATGCTTCTTGATTTATGAATTTAAAATATACAGATAAGAAACAAGACCAAAACAAAGTAAGAAAAGCATTTTTTGCAATGTAGAATGACTTTACAGAGAACGTTCGAGGTTACAGAAGTAACCCTTCGTTCCCCGAGGAGGGGAACGGAAGTGCCATGAATGGGAGGATTCGTATCAGAAGCCGCTTATCTGGAGAGTATTGAACGGGCCAATGAATGAAATTAATTGGCAGCGTAAGCTTGCGCAGGTGTGCGACATCTGCAATCATCTCAGCATATAAGCACACCTGAAGCCAGCAGACGCCATCCTTTTAAGCTGAAGAGACTTTCAAACAGCTAAGGGACAGTCATTATGGCGACGGAATATGGCACTTCCGTTCCCCTCCTCGGGGAACGAAGGGATACTTCTGTAACCTCAAAC